CCCCCCCAAATCCAGTTATAGGCACCCAGGGGTGCAGGGTGTCACCCCTGTGTTCCCTGTGACACCTTGTGTCACCCCCCCAAATCCAGTTATAGGGCACCCAGGGATGCTGGGGCGTGCTGTATCACTCCTCAGATCCAGTTATAGGGCACCCAGGGGTGCTGGGGAATGGTGTGTCACCCCCCAAATCCAGTTATAGGAAACCCAGGGGTGCTGGGTGTCAACACTGTGTCCCCTGTGACACCCCTGTGTCACCCCCATATCCAGTTATAGGAAACCCAGGGGTGCTGGGGAGTGGTGTCCCCCCCTCCCAAGCCAGCTGTAGAACACCCAGTGTTTCTGGAGATCAGCGTCTGGCTCCCAAATCCAGCTAAAGAGCACCCAGAGGTGCCACAGGCTGGTGCCTCCTCCCCGTAGCCAACTAGAGGGCATTTGGGGGTTCCAAGGGGTGGTGACTCCCCCAGAATAGTTACAGGGCACTCAAGGGTGCCACAGGCTGGTGCCTCCTCCCCATAGTCAACTTTAGGGCACTTAGGGGTGCCTTGGGGTAGTGCCCCCCTTCCCAAAGGCAGATATGGGGCACCCAGGGGTACCTGGAGGATACTGCCCCTCCTATAACCAGTTTTAGGGTGCCAGGAAATGGTCCCCCCGGGTTACAGGTGGGTGCTGACCCCCATTCCCACCCCCGTGCCACGGGCAGGACACTGACCTGCAGTAGTAGATGAGGAGGCAGAGGAGGATGAGGACGAGCAGGGCCAGGGCACCCAGGATGGTGAGGAGGAAGATGGTGTGGTAGGTGGTGATGTCTGTCACACCCGCTGCCATCGCCACCAGCCCTGGGGACAGCAGGGTCAGAGGGGGATCCCCCCTGAGGGTACCCCGGGGGGCTGCAGTGTCCCCCCAGCCCAGCCAGCCCCGGGGACAATGGGACATGGGACAGCCCCCACCCCACCAGAGCAGCCCTGGGACAGGGGGGGCAGAGAGGGGAGCACCCCAAGGTGCTGCCACCCCCTCCCCATCCAGCCTGTCCCCAGAGCCAAGGGACACAGGGCACTCAGGTGTCACCTTACCCGTGCTGGGGGAGGGCAGAGCCGCTGCCCAGTATCCCAGCTGGGAGGAGACGAAGGTCCAGTACAGCTGCCGGCCCTCCTTGCGGATCAGCCCCGTCCCGTTCCTGACCCACAGCCCTGCAGGGACACACCGGGATGAGGTCCCCCACCTCATCACCCCCCCGACCCCGAGCAGGAGCTGTGTCCCTTCTGTCACCCCCAGCAGGAGCTGTGTCCCCTCTGCCACCTCCAGCAGGAGCTCTGTCCCCTCTGCCACCCCCCAACAGGAGCTTTGTCCCTTCTACCACCCCCCAACAGGAGCTCTGTCCCCTCCGTCCCCCCAACAGGAGCTGTGTCCCCTCTGTCACTCCCAACAGAAGCTGTGTCCCCGCTGCTGCTGCAAACATGAGCTGTGTCCCCTCTGCCACCTCCAGCCGGAGCTGTGTCCCCTCTGCC